CGATTGGCCTGGGGGTGCGGCCAGCAGGGCCTCAGGCCCCATGAAAAAGTGTGGCAGGCTGGATTCAGCCTGTGGGCCGTATCTTGCCCACCCCTGCCTTAGAGACTAACCAATTATATGTATATAGTATCAAGCGTTTTCGTGGGCATAACCCATTTCTTCCGATGAGATGATCTTGAGTGATCCTCAGGTGATTTGAGTGACTCAGGATCATCTTATCTGAGAGGAAGTGGGTTTTGCCCACAAAAAGCTCATGATACTTTCTCTCTCTCTCTCTCTCTGTATATATCTATATCTATAGTTATAGTTATATAGTTATGTTAATCTCTAAGATACCACAGGACTAGACTACTCCCTGCATGGCGGCGCTCTCTGGCATTTGTTGCTCCTATATCATTAGGCCTAAACACAAACCAAAGAGATTCTCCAGGACAAAATACATTTGAAGAGATCTGCATGGTTTCCAGCGACAACTGGAAAAAATAGTGTTTTTCTGTCCTTCCATTACGTGGACTCCCAGCCCTTCCCCTGTGCCTTTCTGCCAGCTGGGTAACATCTGCTCCTGCCACTCGCTTGCTCTCCAGTATTTCCTACCTTGGATGGAGTCAATCTGGGGCATTAATATGTTTTTTGAAAGTGAAAGTGAACAGCAGCCTGGTCCAGGAGTAGCCGTGTGGAGAAGCTACAGTTGTCACGGGAGGGAGGGCCCAGCAGGCCTGGCTGTTGCCTTCAGTCCTGATCAATAACTAAAACTTGCTGCCCACCCCTCCCCCCAAAAAATGTGGTCTCCTGTAAATTCCTGGTGTACTGTGTAAAGGGATTTCCTTACCTCCTCCAGGCCTGAATAAGCATTGCCCTCATGTAGTCTGGCCCTAGGGCTGCCCAGAACCAAGCCAAGGCCATCCATGGTTGGTTAGGGTCTGCTCCTGTCAGTTTCGAGGAGTGACAGGCACAGTGAGCGCTGCGGCTGAGCTGTGCACGTGGAGACTGCTACGTTCTCTGGTGTCTAAATACGGAGCTGACGTGGTCCCTGCTAATCCCCCGTAGCCGCACCAGGCTCTTCCCCACGCGTGAGAGATGGTGGCTTCAGAGCTAGGGGTGTGAATGGTTATCCGGTAAGCATCACCCTTACCAGGTAACAGTAAACTGGTTCCCCGGGAGCAGCCCCCCCACCCCTCGCCGGTGGCCTGTCGCAAGCAATGGGTTGCTCCAGCCCCATGTGGCTGGATGCCAAGGCTGCCAGCAGCCAGCAACCAGCCTTGCACAGGGCTGGGAGTGGGAGCCCACGGGCTGCGTAGTTGGTTAGCCGGTTAAACTGGCTAATCGGGATTTTACATCCCCATTCAGAGCACACACCGGTTTGGATTAATGCTGGGAATTTCACACCACACTTTGTTATACTTTTGGGCTCTGCAGGCGACTGAACGTTTCTCCCTCCACCTCGGTGCTGTGTTATTCCCACAGTTCAAAACTACTGAACGTTTCTCCCTCCACCTCGGTGCTGTTATTCCCACAGTTCAGAACCATCTACTGCTCAGTGGCTTGATCCCTTCTCTTGGCTGTAAATGTTTGCTAATCTGCCCCGTTTTGTTCCTCCTCCCTGGTGGGAGTCGTTCCGCCGTTGCACGGGAGGGGTACGCTTTACACGAGCACGTCCCGAAACCTGTCCTGTAGCAGTGGTGTGATCTTTCTAGGCTCCCTCGCTTGAGTTTCCTTTCTGCTCTTGTGTTTGCTCAGAAAAGCCCTGCTGCTGCTAAAGAAGAAGCGCTACCAGGAGCAGCTGCTAGATAAAACCGAAAACCAAATCAGCAACCTGGAACGCATGGTATGCAAGAATCAAGCAGTGCTCGCGCGGGGCTTCTTGTGGGCAGCTCTGTGGGCTGCCCTGTTCCTTTTTGCCTGCGTGTGATTACAGCACGCTCCCGAGCCCTGATAGTACAGGTTGGACCTCTCACCACTGGGACTCCCTGGTCTGGTAACCTCCATTGTCAGGGTAGGGCCATGGCTGTTGCTGGACCAGAGAGACCCGGTGGAGGGCTGGGGAACCAACCAGGCCGCTTCTTGTGGGCAGCTCTGTGGGCTGCCCTGTTCCTTTTTGCCTGCGTGTGATTACAGCACGCTCCCGAGCCCTGATAGTACAGGTTGGACCTCTCACCACTGGGACTCCCTGGTCTGGTAACCTCCATTGTCAGGGTAGGGCCATGGCTGTTGCTGGACCAGAGAGACCCGGTGGAGGGCTGGGGAACCAACCAGGCCGGCTTCAGGGAGGCCAGGGCTGGGCTG